GGTGAGAGGGGAAAGGGGGTGTAGACCTTTTTAGACTACTTCCTACTGATTATGGGTGTTGAGTTTCTGGAGGCAAGTCCAATCTTCTTTGTCAGGATATTTCCAACTTTTCATCAAACCACAATAACAGCAACCAGGAGCAGCTGGGGCGCCACTGGGAGGATCAGAGGGGGAAACAGAGCAGAGCAGCTTTTATGTAGGTGTTGGGGACATCCAAGCTCAAGTCCCCATTTTTTTATCCAGCAAGCATCCCTACCCATAGAACCATCTCCCCGGACGATTATTTTAGTTTTAAATTAATATAAAGTAGCAAGTTTCCTTATGGCATTTTCTCACTTACTTAGTTTGGTTGACATCTCCTCATGCTCCTTTCTTCCCCGTCTTCTGCACTCCCTGCCTCCCCCCCCCCCTGCATTTATATGCTTCTGACTCCAGTGATGGTCACCAAGAAGCAGTATCTTAAGGTCAGGGGTTCTGGAGTGAAAATGAAAACTGGAGCTGATTTGGAACTTGTGAATATGCTCTTCTGTACCCCCAACTCTTCCCCTGTGCTTGCAACTGAAATTGAGTGCAGATTTAGGATGCTGAGCTGGGAGTACTGGGAAGGGCTAGCAGAGGTAGCCAATAATCCCCTACCCAGCGGTTGAGCCAATAAGGCAACTTGAAATTGAACAATTATGTTTATCTGTGATTTTTTATTTGTCGATTCAATAGTCTCTGGTAGTGCTGTCCATTCCTGGAGCTTAGGCAGAGTAGCAGAAGCTACACGCAACACTACAGTTTTGCCTACAGTCTGATCTTAAGGAGACATTCTCTCAAAGTTCCCGCATCTTGGATGGCTATAGGCTCTGTCAAATTGGCATAAAACTGGCCATCACACTGATGTAAGGCTCTACGTTTTTCCTTAGAGTCAGAACTAGGACTCTACAGAAGGATAAAGGCTGTTGACACACCTTCAAGGAGACCTGATTGGGGGCAGTGATATTCAGCCTTGCCTCGGGCTAAGGAAGGGACAGAAAAGAATATTTCCAGTAGGACAAAGAGGCTGGGTGGAAAATGTCTTTAAAAGCTTTTAGAAGTCCAGCTTGGTGATGTGCAGCTATAACTCCAGCACCCTGGAGACTAAGGCAGGAGGATCTTGAGTTCCAGAATAATTGGACTAAATAATGAGTTCCTATTTTTAAAAAAGTTATTCAAGATATTGAATAGCAGCCGGGCAGTGGTGACACACGCCTTTAATCCCAGCACTTGGGAGGCAGAGGCAGGCGGATTTCTGAGTTCGAGGCCAGCCTGGTCTACAGGGTGAGTTCCAGGACAGCCAGGGCTACACAGAGAAACCCTGTCTCGAAAAAGATATTGAATAGCCTCTGGAGAGACATACAATAACTTAAATAACTTCTATGTGCCCCTAAAATTCTACCGTCTCCCACAAATCCAGGATGAGATATTACTATTAGCTAGGGAGGAGTGCCCCCCACCCCAGCTGTGTCCCTCTGAGAGATCATTTATTGTATTATTATTTTTATGTGCACTGGCATTTTTGCCCACGTGTGTATTCATGTGAAAGTGTCAGAACTCCTGGAACTGGAGTTACAGACAGTGGTGAGCTGTCATGTGGGTGCTCAAAATTGAATCTAGGTTCCCTGGAAGAGCAGCAAGTGCTCTTAACCGCTGAGCCACCTCTCCACTGCACCCCCACCCTAAGAGATTAAAACACAGCTACACTCCATGTTAAATGAAATGATAGTCATCAAAGGGCCATACAATAACCCTATGGGCAGAGAAGGCAACTGGGCCAAAATATGTTGTCAAGGTAGGAACTGGGGTGCAGGACACATGGACCTAGAAGAAGGACACCTGCAAGTGGCATATGCTCCTCAAACCTTAAAAGACAGGGCACAGGTTATGGCTTAAGGACAGGCCATGATGACCTGTGGTCCAAATCTTGGGCTCCATCTGAGGTCTGAATTCCTTAGGAATACCGCAGAGCCCTGGACAAGTTTTACCCTTCTTGATATTTTTTTATTAATTTTTTTCACACAGTATATTTTGATCACGTTTTCCCTCTCTCATCTCCTGCCAGATCCTTCCCCTCTCTCTATCCACCCAACTTCATGTTTGTTCTTTCTCTGCAAAAAACAACCTTTTTGTTTGTTTGTTTGTTAAGATTTATCTTCCTTATAAAGCAGCAGATCTAAGTCAGTCAAGAAGCAGGCCAGGCCAAGGACACCATGACCTTGGGAGATGTCTGTCCATTAACTCTCCCTCCAGTGGACAAAGAGCAAAATTGCTGAACAGCCAGGAAGCCGGTGGAGGAGACGAGGGGGAGTGTATACTTTCAAAGCAATCCTGCATCTTGAAGATTGCTTCACAGTTCTATTTATACAGAGAACATCTGTGCCCAGAATCAGAACTGTCTCCGGGCATAGAATGTGGGAACATGCCTGGGGGAGTGTAAGATATCAGAATGACTGCAGTTTTTCTGCCACCTTCAGTCCCAGCTCAACACCCCCAACCTCCCACCTGTAGAAGTGGCCTGTGGCTGCCCACCCGAGATCTCACATGGCTGGTTGATTTTTCTCCCTCCAAAGCATGGCAAACTCTCTTCTCTCTCCTGCATCTGCCCGCTTGCCTGTGAGGACCCAGAAGTCCCGCCTATTCTTTCCACCCAGCAGTTGGCCCATTGCATAGATCAAGAGCCAAACGGGGAACAGAACCTTAGCGTCAGCACTGCCCCTACACTGTAGGGCATTTTATTAATTAGTAATTGATGGGGAAGTCCCAACCAATTATGGTTGGTGCCATCTCTGGGCAAGGGGTCCTGCAATCTATATGAAAACAGACTGAGCAAGCAATAAGGAGCAAGGCAGTACACAGCATCCCTCCATGGCCTCTGCATCATTCCTGTCTCCAGGTTCCTGTTCCACTTGAGTTCCTGTCCTGACTTCCTTTGATGGTGAACTGTACTGTAAAAGTATAAGCCAAATAAACCCCTTCCTCTTCAAATTGCTTTTGGTCATAGTGTTTCATCATAGCAATAGTAACCCTAACTAAGACCCGTAAGTGATACTTTTGTTAAAGAGCCATGGTTGGTTTGGTGGTTTGAACAAAAATGGCCTCCATAGGCTCATAGAGAGTGGCACTACTAGGAGGTGTGACCTTGTTGGAGAAAGTGTGTCACTGGGGGGTGGGCTTTAAGGTTTTAGAAGCTCAAACTAGACCCAGAGTCAGTCTCTCTCTCTCTCTCTCTCTCTCTCTCCCTGCTGCTAGTGGATACAGAACTCTCAGCTCCTTCTCCAGCACCATGTCTTCCTCTATGCTGCCATGCTCTCTGCTGTGATGACAATGGACTAAACCTCTGAAACAAAAACCAGCCCCAGTTAAATGCTTTCTTTTACAAATGTTGCCATGGCCACGGTGTCTCAAGACAGAAATTGGTACGATTTTCCAGGGTCACAGGGGTACAGACATGTTCTATGTCCAGTGGAAACTACTCCGTGGGACCAAAGATCTAGAAGTTTAGAGACAGCTTAGCTGGGAAGCACAGCCACAGCATGGTAGAGCTGGGACTCTAGTCAGATTGACCTCTAGGCTCTACAGGCATTCATAGGACCTAGCCTATGGTAAGCTATCCTGGACCCAGAGTTCACCACTCTCTCTAAATGAGCACAATGAGAACCTCAAGAAACGGAGGAGGATGCTTGTCCCTAATTCGATGTCTCATTTGCAAGTCCTCTCGTATTGATCTCTTTGCTATGCCTTGCCATCCTCATCCCTGTCTACCTGGCTCCACCTCATCCCAGCTTCCCTGCCTTCTTCTCACCCCGTGTCCCAAGCTTCTCATTCATTCATTTATATTTTCACCTAGTGACTAGCAGACAAGAGCAAGGGACCTGGAGCAAGACAGACTGGGGTCTGCTTTGAACTCTGCAACTCAGTAGCTGTGTTTGTGACCTAATCACAGGTCACTTGCTCACAAGGTACAGAGCAGAAGAGCTTCCTAGACTCAAGCCAATGAATCTGTATTCTCAGGCATCATGACGAGCAGGGAGGACTTCTGAGCAAGTCCTCCCGATCTCACTGTAGTACTCTGATCAGGGGAGAAGCTACTTCCCCACGGGCACTGAAGGTCCAGATCAGAGTCGTTTGGTTCATCCATGTGAACAGTGAATCTGGCTTTGTCTTGTCCACTCATACCATTAGGAGTTCACATACTGGGGCCAGGAGAGAAGGGTCCGTCAATAAAGTCCTTCCTGTGTAAATCTGAGGACTTGAGTTCAGTTCCCAAACATCCAGATAAAAAGCTGGGTGCCACAGCAAATGCCAGCAACCCAAGTTCTGAGGAGGTGGAGAAAGGAGGGTCCTTGGGCTTCTCTGGTCAACCAGCTCAGCTTAATTAGCCCTGATCAGTGAAAGACCTTGTTTCAAAAAGTAAGGAGAGTAACATTGACCTCTGGATGCATACGCACACACACATATGCACACTCATACACACACATGCACACTCACACATACCTGTATACACATATGCACTTACACACACATGCACACTCATACATATACCCTCACACACATGTATGAACTTACACACATGACACTCATACACACACTTGCACACTCATACACACATCTACACAAATGCTCTTACACACATACACCCTCATACACACAGGCACACACATGCATACACTCATACACACACCTGCACTCACACATGCACACACTTACACATGTACACGCACACACACATACACACACGTACACACACGTACACATCATGCAGGAAGAGCTTACACATCCTCCAGGTTTATTTAGCCCAGTATGTAATGACAGCAGACCCAGCACCAGGAAGCAGCAGAAAAGAATTCTTCCTACAAACACTTCAATTATATCTGAGCACCACTTCCTGTGTCCACCAAACCAAGATAGTAGATCAGAGCCCCGCGTCACCACACTGACATACTCTGGGCATAAAAGCCAGAGCTAGTTAGATGGGCTGCAGAGAATTTCCCAGGGGTGACCCCAAGAGTACAAATTAAGGTATATTATTTACTGGGTGGGGTTTGACTGTTTGGTAGATCCTAAACTGGCTCACAGGAGGCTATTTCACCTTTGTCCCCTCCCGGGAAGACAACTGTGGCATATGTCACAGGCTTGGAGGACATCAGAACCTTAGGATGAAGAAGGGGCTGTGGGGGTGGGGCTGGAGGTTTCCTTGATGGCGGATCAAGAGAAGAGCCCATGTAGATAGAGTCAAAGGAAGGCGGTGAGTCGAGTCTCACATGCGGTATGTCCGTAGGTAGTCCAGAGTCACTGCTATGGTGGGCTGCTGAGGAAGGGCCCTGGAATAAAAAACAGGCAAGTCACACAAACTCAATCTGCCTGAGTTCCCTTTAATGCATTATGAGACCACAATGGACCAGCTGTAATAATCCCAATATACCAAAGGGACAAGAGGCCATTGCTTTGACCAGGAATGGTGACGCAAGCACATACACCACAAATGCACGCATATTTAATCCCTGTTATCAAAAGAGTTCAAGTCCAGCCTGGTCTACATAGTGAGTTCCAGGCTGGCCAATGGAACTTAGTGAGATGCTGTCTGAAACGTGAAACAACAAGACCTGGGAGTGATGGTGCACACCTTTAAACGCAGCACTCGGGGGCAAAGGCAGGTGACTCTCCATTAATTAGAGACCAGCCTGGCCTACATAGTCAGTTGTAGACCACCTAACTATAAAGAGACCTTGTCTCATTTAAAAAATAAAGTGGAGTGGGGTGCTTTGAAGACATCCTAAGCCCCAAGGCACTCCCTAGAATACCCCAAGGTACTTCCCCAGGAAGGTGAGGGTCTTTTTTCCACCGACTCAGTAGTGTGATCGGTAAGGGAGTCTGCAAAGTTCTCTTACCATGCCTGAAACTCCAGTGCTCTGGGATGGACCACAGACACCAGGCCTGTTCCCTGGCAACAGAGGACCATAGTACAACAGTCTAGTCGCTTGCAGAGTAGCTCCAAGCCTCTCAAAATCTTTGCAAGCGCAGCATAACCACTTTCATCACTCCAGTCTCTAACCCTCTACCGGTCCGCCCAATAAGACTGCTCCGCCTCCCGCCCATTCTCTGCTTCCCCAGCTGCCTCAATGCTAACCCTTCTCCCCCCCCCCCACTTCCCCCTCCCCCGAGCTCTTCCCTTCCCTCCATCCCTTCTCTCCATTCCTACTCCTCACTTTTCACCAGCTCCCTCAGGCCTGCCCTAGCCAAGTCCCCTTTCCTGCTCTCTGGATCAGCCGCTGGAATTCATGCAAGATTTTTCAGGTGGGAAATGCGCCTGGACTCCTGGCCTCGTCTTCAAAACTGAGCCGCTGGAGTAGGTGGGTGACTACCTACCTTTCTTTCTGGCCATCACAGCAAACAGTACCACAGCCGCCACCAGCAGGCCCAGCAGGAGCACAACACCCCAGATCAGGGGGATACTGAGAAACACAAAGAGATAGGCAGGTTTAGCCCTGGGGCCTGAGGGAAGCTGCCGACCAAGAGCCCTGGAGTAGTGGGGATAACTGCCACTTTCTTCGAGACCCATAACTGAGAGGAGATGGAATGGAAGGAGGAGGGCCGGCCCAGATCGGGGAGAGGAGAGACCCATTTTTGTTTGTTTGTTTTTCTCGAGACAGAGTTTCTCTGTGTAGCCCTGGCTGACCTGGAACTCACTCTGTAGACCAGGCTACTCTCGAACTCTCGAACTCTCGAACTCAGAAATCCGCCTGCCTCTGCCTCCCAAGTGCTAGGATTAAAGGCGTGCGCCACCACCGCCCGGCTGAGACACATTTTTATTGTGTCTTTGTTGGAGATCTACCAGAGCGAAGGAACGGTTAGGAAATGGATAGATGTCGGTCTATCCGCTGATTGGAACGGTCACCAGCAGTGGAGTAAGTTAGAAGTGTGCCCCATTTGATTTTTGAGATGATTTTTAAAAAATTACGTGTATGTCTGTGAGAGCGTATATGCTCATGGATGCAAATGGATGCAGGGGCCTGAAGAGAGCCCCGGGTCCTCTGGAGCTGGAGTCCCAGATTGCTTTCAACTGCTGGGGATGAGCTCTGTCCACAGCAAAAGCAGCAAGTGTTCCTAACTGCTGAGCCATCTCTGTAGCCCTCCATCTGACACAGCATGGGTCAAAATGAGTTGTATGTTTACTGCCCAGCTCCCCTGACTTCCCATACTACTGCTTCGGGGACCTGTTCTCACGCCGTCTGAACTCGGGAGGACCAGCGCTTGCCAAAGGGTCCAAGGAAGCGTCCTCCAGCAGACTTCCGGTTCCGGTTCTATAGGTTTCTTTCTCTTCCTCCGTTTCCTCCCCCTCTTCTGGGCCAGGAACTGAGCCAGAAGGAAACGGTTAGTGAGTGCGTAGCCCTTGTGAAGCACTGTTCCATACCCTGTTAAGAGCTGAAGGACCGGGGAAATAAAATTAAGGAAAGAGAGATACAACCCTCCTTTCTCCCCCTCTCTGCCCCAAGGAAGGCAGAGTGGGAACATACCGTTCTTCATTCTGTGAGTTAGGAAATAGCTTCCTCTCTTGGTATCTCTGTCTGGTTGTAAGCATAGCCGTTTCCCCTCTGCCACCAGCTCCCACCCATGGTCCCCTGCAACTCCTCGCCTCTGCCAACCCCTCCCCACACACTGGTCTCTCTCCGGTTCCACCACGCTACGTCCAACCATCACAGTATGATCTTGTAGCTCCTTCTCATCCCAGAATAGATCCTCCTGTTGTCATCCTCAGTGTCAACCTTGCTCTTGGTTCTCCCAGATCTCCAATGAGGGCCTCCTCCGATGGACCTGCAGCCCTGTGACCTCAACTTCAAGCTGATAGGATCTCATCCTGAGCTGGCTCAGCACTAATGGGAGGCAAGACCCATTGACCTTTCTGATAACCTAGCTAGTACCTGGATTCCAATGGGATAACTCTTCTGCCAGTCCTACAATGTCTTAACTTTGGCTGCCGGATTTAGTGGTGTGTGCCTGGGGTTAGGTTTTGAGACTTCGAAAGTCCATCTCTCTCTCAATCCCTCTCTCTCTCTCTCTCTCTCTCTCTCTCTCTCTCTCTCTCTCTCTCCT